GCTGGAGTGTTCACTGTAACCACATCGTTCCCTGTGGGAGAGACACACATGGAGTGACAAACACAGAGATCAGTGCAATGCTGCCCACTAGGATTCCCTAGAACTGGTGATCAAGAAAAGTCAGATGAAGCCAGGAAGCTGGCAAACATGTCTGACAGTCTGATAGCAGCAAGCTGGTCCCATCAGATAGGAAGTCTTACAGGATAGATTTGATTTAAATCAAGACTTAAATCACAATTTAAAACACTGGTCAGGAAGCTTTGATTTACTTATTGTTTTCTACAAAAAGCACATTCTTGTTTGATAAAACCTTAATACATATTATTCACAACTCAAGAAATAAATGTAGGTTTCTTTTTTAGAAGGTACATACTATATATTTTAAAAGTGATTTATTTTGATATTTTTCAGATTAATTTTGCAGCCACATAAGAAAACTGAATTATAATTTGGTTGTTTTATTTACCAAAGCTAACTGAATCACATGTTTGTGAAATCACTGGAAGGTGAACCAACTCTAATTCACTAGATTAATCATGGCTATTTGGGGGATATTGCCACACTGTATTAGGAGGACATCAAATGAGCACTGCAGTCATGTTATGAGCTTGGGGCTTTTTTCACTTTCTTCTAGATTTCATCTCATCTTCGATTTTTTTTCTCTTACAGTCTGGCAAGCCTGCTGCCATGATACGTTTTCCCTTCTACCCCACTCCCTCACTAGATCTCAAATCAGTGGAGAGGCTATACTCAGAAATGTATCCCTCATGACTTCTGGAATCTTCTGCTCCAAATGTTTCTCTTTTGTTTCTATCGCCCCTCCCTCCTTGCATTTATATCCAGACTCTTCCTCCTTGCCCAGATCTACTCCACTCCCACCAGTCCTCCTATTCATTTAACTTCTTGAAGCTTTGAACTTTTAGAGAGAGGTCAGGGCTTGACTCTGTACACAAACTTGCAGAGAGACAATAGGGCTGATGGGTAGGTAACAGGTCTGTTATGTCTCATCTCTTGTGCAACTGGGGTTACAGCTAGCAAGGGATGTGAAGGGTAACAAGAAGGGTTTCTACAAGTATGTCAGTAGCAAGGGAGAATCAGAGAAAGTGACTGGTGGAGGCAACCTTGTAACAGAGAATGCAGAAAAGGCTGAAGTGTTCAATGCCTTTTTTGCCTCAATTTTTACAGGCAGGATCTGCTCCTAGACTATTGCACTGGGCAGCACAGTTTGGAGAGCAGGTGAGCAGCCCTCAGTAGTGAAAGAATAGGTTAGGGACTACATAGAAAAGATGGACATGTACGGGTCCCTGGGGCCGATGGGATGTACCTGAGGGTGATGAGGGAGTTGGCTAATGTGATTGCAGAGCCGTTGGCCATCATCTTTGAAAACTCATGGCAATTAGTAGGGGCGCACCAATAGAGAATTTAGGGGCCGATATGGCTCCTTAAAAATCTGCTATCTGTATTGACCAATCCCAATATGCAGCCAGACAGCGGAGAGCAGTGTCTTGCTGGTAAGTCTGTTGTGGGGGAAGGGCCAAGGAAAGGGGTGTGAAGGCAGATCAAGGTCCCTGCAATGAGGGAGGGAGTGGGACTGGGGCAGGGGCAGACACTGCACAGTGGGGGTGGAGTACAGGACAGAGGCATGAGTGGTTCCCACCACTGCGCACACCTTGGAAGGGCATGGTGGGGACATGTGCCCCCAGATCTGCACACAGGGCAAGGCCAGACTGCTGCTGTGGGCTGGGGCAGCACCGGGCTTTTCTGGCTGAGGGCTGGGCCAGACTGCACTCAGGATGGCAGCACTGGGAAGGGCACATGGGCGGCGGGGGGGGATGCAGGTACCCCAAAATCCACTGTAGCCCCCTCAAAATCTCCTCCCAGCGCCATCACTACCCTTCCCAAGCACAGCCGCAGCTGAGAAGTACCTGATGCCAGCACCAGGCCCAGCCCGAGCCTACACCCACAGCAGCAGCCCGCCCTCTCCCTGCATACAGATACAGGGGCACATGCTTCCCTCATGCCCTCCTGGGGTGTGCGCAGTGGCAGAAGCCGTCCCCCTCAACCGCACAAGCTGCTTGCAGCTCCATCCTGCACCCCACCCTGCCTGTGCAGTGCCTGTCTCTGCCCCAGCTTCGCTCCCTCCCTCACTGCTGGGGCCTCGATCTGCACCCCCCACATCCCTTCCCTCACAACAGACCTACCAGCCAAACCTGGCTGCTCTTCACGCTGTTGGGCTGTGCTCCTGGCTGCCTGTGTGCTGTGCTGCAGTTGCGCATATGCATGGGGGATTTACCAGTGGCATTATCAGTCACATCAGGCAAAAAAAAGCCGATTGCCGATACACTCAATTTTCCTTATATCAGTGCCAATCTGATATGGGACAGATGTGTACCTCTAGCAATCAGGAGAGGTCCCAGATGATTGGAAAAGGGCAAACATAGTGGCCATATTAAGAAAGGGAAAAAGGAGGATCCAGGGAACTACAGACCAGTCAGCCTCACCTCAGTCCCTCGCAAAATCATGGAACAGATCCTCAAGGAATCTATTTCTAAGCACTTGGAGGACAAAAAGGTGATTAGGAACCATCAGCATGGATTCACCAAGAGCAAGTCATGCTTGACCAACCTGACTGCCTGCTATAATAGGATTACTGATTCTGTGGATGCGAGGATACTTGTCAATGTGGCATACTTTGATTTTAGCAAGGCTTTTACTACCACCTCCCACAACATTCTCCCAGGCAAGCTAAGGAAGTACGGGCTAGATGAATGGACTGTAAGATGGACAGAAAACTGTCTGGAGCACTGGGCTCAAAGAGTAGTAATCAATTGCTCAAAATATAGTTGGCAGCCGGTAACAAGTTGAGTGCACCAAGGGTCAGTCCTGGGGCCAGTTTTGTTCAATATCTCCATCAACAACCTAGAATATGGCATAGAGTCCACCCTCAGCAAGTCTGCAGATGACATCAAGCTGGGGTGGGCTGGGGTGGGGGGGAAGAAATAGTAGATATGCTGTAGGGTAGGACTAGTGACCTAGACAAACTGGAGGATTGAGCCAAAAGGAATCTCATGAGGTTCAACAAGGACAAGTGCAAAGCCCTGCAATTAGGATGGAATAATCCTATGCACTGGTACAGGCTGGGGCTGACTGGCTGGGCAGCAGCTCTCCAAAGAAGGACCTTGGGGTTACAGTGGACAATAAGCTGAATGATCCAGCAGTGTGCCCTTGTTGCAAAGAAGGCTAAAGACATACTGGGCTGCACTGGTAGGAGTGTTACCAGTAGGTCAAGGGAATTATTCCCCTCTCTTCAGCACTGGTGATGCCACATCTGGAGTTTTGCAGCTATGTAAGAAAACTGTTCCGTTTTGGGCCCCCCACTACAGAAAGGATGTGGACACACTGGAAAGAGTCCAGTAGAGGGCAACAAAAATGGTAAGGGGGCTGGGGGACATGACTTATGAGGAAAGACAGAGGGAACTGGGTTTATTTATTTTAGAGAGGAGGAGACTGAGATGGGACTTAATAGTGCCTTCAACTACCTGAAGTAAGGTTCGAAAGAGGATGGAGCTAGACTGTTCTCAGCGGTGGCAGGTGATAAAACAAGAAGCAATGGTGTCAAGTTGCAGCAAGGGAAGTTTAGATTAGATATTAGGAAGGATTTTGTCACTAGGAGGGTAGTGAAACACTGGAACAGGTTACCCAGAGAGGTGGTGGAAGTTCCATCCATGGAGGTCTTCAAAACCTGGCTAGACAGAGCTTTGGCTGGGATGACCTAGCTGGGGACAGTCCTGCTTTGAGCAGGGGGTTGGACTAGATGATCTCCTGAGGTCCCTTCCAACCCTAACTTTCTATGATTTTCTTGCCATATATTGCTGTTAACAAGGATTCTCTCTCTGGAGACACAAATCCACAGTTTGAAAACTAAAAGCCAGCCTCACAGAGATGCTTAATGGGATCTTCTAGACTGAGCACTGAGTCCCATTGGGTAGAGTATTTTTTTAAAATCTTTACTAACCTATAGAGGAGCCTCTGGGAACCCAATAAGATTGGGCCCATAATATAGTCCGTGGCCTGTTGTGACCTATTTATAAAACTTTTCTAAAAAGGCTACGTGAAAATATTGTCCCAAATAGTATATCATTAGAAGTTATAATCCCTATTCCTTGTTGACATCTTTGATCTTTAACATATCCTAAATTAAAACTATCTTAATACAGAGTTTTTTTAAAAAAACATCTTAATAAAGAAAGTGATTAAATAAAAAAAATCTAATTTAAATTAAAAAAATCTGATTTTTTATTTTATTTTTTTAAATAGTTGATTTTTATCCACCTTGCAAAACCTAACATCACCCAACACCAGACCAACACACTAGCTCAGGGCCACATACATGCCAGTAAAGGAGAGAACAGCAGTTAATCCCAGTGGTTCCCAACACATAGCTACTTACTACATGCAGCAGTGGTTCTGAAGTAACGGACAGCGAAGATACTTGAGTTGTTTGCACTGGAGAAAGAGAGAGAACACACAATGGAATAAACTCGCTCTCTGTGGGTAGCCAACCCACATCTCCCATATAAACTGGATCAGGCACAGACTCTACACTGGCTTGTAAACCTGGTTTGAAGGTTGTTCAGCCGCCAGATGATGCGTATGCACTGAAGCCAAGGGTCGCTTTCATGATAGTCTATGTGGTATAGATCTTATGGAGGTACCCAAAGGGAATTCAACAGCCAACTATACTTGGAGAACTCAGCAGTGTTCTTCATAACCCCCTGTAATTCCTGGACCACAAAAGTTGGGGTGCCCATATTTCCCTGAAACCAGTTCTGAGCATCTCAAGGGTTTAATGACAACAAAGCAGACACCACCACGCATCAAGACTAAACCAGTTCCTCCCTCTGACATGCTGCAGCAGACCTCCACTTTCCCATGGATACTTACACAAACTTCCTACTGTTGGTGCAAGCCAGCCCCTGGCCTCCAGGAACACCTGCAAGGTAGAAACCATTTAAACGAAAAACCTTGTTACCCTCTAAACTACCCAGTCACACCCAGCAGGATAACAAGGGCATATACAGTTGGAAACAACTCAGATAAATGTTTCCAAGCACACTTAATGGAATCTATTCAGATTTTAGGAGAGCCTCAAGGAAATCCAGGACAGAGCCTGATACTGCAGCTGGAACAGGGTGCGAGAAAAGGCTGCACACAGGAACCTCTACACCAGCTGCCCTGCTCCAAGCCCTAAGAGTGCAACAGTGGCTTTGCTTTTATTTAGGTTTGTATCGGGGGGGGACAGAAGGCTGGGGGTGGCAGGGGAACACCTTCCCCTGCCACACCAGCCCCTTGGGATACAGATCTTTTAAGAAGGAAAGATACAAACCAGCAGCTTCCCCAAAGCCAGACAAATAAGCAAAGTCAGTTAGAGGGAAAAATCAAGCCAAACCAAATTTTCCAACATAGTAACCTGCTGGCGTGACCACTGCTTGGGGCTGTTACAGTCTCAAGCACTTCAGTATTAGCAGCAAAAAGTTTCAAATTAGGACATGGTAAGGTACATTTACTTCCAAGACGCTCTCACAGGAAACTCAGGAGCAGCACTAATAGGAAAGGAAATATAAATACCATTCCAGCAGTGCAGCAGCATTCCCAAGGAAGCTGCTTTCTGAAATATTTACTGGAAGAGAAATGTGTTCCCTTCCAAAGAACTCCTCGATAATACGCAGTACCAGAAGGCCCTGCTATGCTCATGTTCTCTGATTTGACCCTGGAGACAAGGTGACTTATCCAAATTAAAACCTTGCCCTTTGCCTTTTCAGGGGTGCTGGGCAAATTTCCAGCTTTATCTTCAGTTAGAGAGGCTAGGTATAAGAGTCTGACAACACACAGACTTCCTTAGAGATACACAAGCTCAGGAGGAAGAACCATTTCCAGCTAAGCGATGCTTAAGGAGGTGGATTAAATTTAGCCATTGAAGCAGAAAACAGAATTTACTTTCACTAAGCAAATGTCTCCAGAGAAACATGCAGCTGGTTTCCCTTCTGATCTAATTTTTAACCTATTGCTTCTTTACCAATTAGCTTTATGGAAGCTTGTCTTCGATTACTTCAGTTTATTGTGACCATCAAATCTGATTAGTTTGTCTTGCTTTGACTATTGCTTGAACTGAAAAACAAAATACAAGTTAATTCCAAGTACAAGACTCACCAGACAGAGAGCATCTTGCCAGAGTACAGTTTCCCTGTCAGAGAGAAGAGGGACTATCAGCATTGCAAACAACAGGCAGAACCAGCTCCAGAGGGGATTCTGCCATCTCCCATACTCCAGGCTTTGGCCTAGATTAGGAAGTGGAAGACAGTGTTCACAGGCCCCTATGTCAAGCATGCTGCTTCACTGCACAACACAATCCGCAAGGCAGAGGAAGTGACGAAAGACTTTCAGATCCCCTTTCCCATCCCTCTATTCCAACACTCTTTACCACAGAAGAGCACCTTGGAAGCACGTGAATTAAACTCCAATCCTTGGCTTTACTTGCAGCTCCTGCTGTTGTGGGAGGGGAATGCCAATGTAAAAAGGACACAAGGGACAGTTTTCTAAAAGCCACACTCACTTTGAGTTTGTCACTGTGCGAGAAGGCCAAGGGTGGCTAGATTAGGACGGTTGGAAGCAGCAATTCCACACTGGAGCTGTTGAGTCCCACAGCCTCTGCAGCTCCAATCTCCAGTGTCAATTTTACTTAAAGGGAATTTGGGGGTTTAAAAGAGCCGTTGAATGACATCCTGGCTCTAGTGAAGTCAGTGCAAGACTCCTATTGACTTCAATGGGGCAGAATTTCACCTTTTCTGACCTTCATCTTAATCCTCAAAGTCAAGAGAAGGTTCATAACTCCGTTCAACATTTCAAACCAAAATCAGAATTTGAGACACCGTTATAGCAGATCCTCTCTCTCACAGGTCTTCTAATTTATCTTACACAGCACCTTTTGACCTGGAGGAGCACCAAACAGTTGTAAAAAGTAACACGCTACCCAACACTGCAATAACTCCCTTCTGGAGTGAAACATATTATTTGGCAAATTCAAGGTATCACTGTACGTGAGTCAATACAGGAAGAAAAAACAATCCTACTTTGGTTAAATCTCAACTTCTGAGGAAAGAGTCTGTATATACAACTTGCCTTCACCTTCAGCCAGAACTAAGAGCTCAGCTGTAGCCGGTACCTTGGACTAGTACACAATGTTTTTCACAAATGTGCTTCTGAAAATTCATGTACAAAAGGGAACTGTTAGGGATGATGAAATGTTAAAGACAGTGCAGGGACACACAATTTAGAATATGGAATGTACACAAAACATTTGACTTTGTGAAAAACTGGAGGAACACAAGGAAACTCAATTTAGGGTTCTGGAGCTCTACTGACTCTGCTTTTTGGGCACCAAAACCCCCAAGTGATTTACAGCCACATGTTCTCTGGCTCTTTAGGTATTCATTCAATTGTACAGTAGGGAGCTAATTTCACTTAGCCTTCTGATGCTTCTTTTAGGGTACTTTGTAAAGAGGCAGGGGAAATCCTAGCATACCAGACAACATCTTGCTGGGGAAACAGGATATGCCGTACTAGATTCTGGAAGGAAAACAGGCTTGTGTGTTTGTTTGTGGAGCCCCTGCACTGCTAGGACGTGGCTCACTCTGGGAAGCCAAATAATAATGAATGTCTGGGGAAAAATAAACCCACAGAAACAGCACTTCCTATGGGAGCACAGTCTCTGTGGAGTGCTATAAATCTAAGACAGCTGGCATACCAAGAGACTGTTTCATGTAGTCAGACAAACCCAGGGTTGAGAAACTAAAGCCTTACATGAGAGGAAGGTAGAAGAGAAAGCTCTCAAATGTAGTTACCATCTTATTTGTGCCTTCCTCTGCTGTGTGAGGGTCTCTAAACATATTACTACCCCTTCCCAGTTTATTTTTAGCATGCAGGAAATGGCACTCTCATATACATAGCCTTGGTAGAGGAGATGGCAAACATCCCATTTACAGAGCATATCTGCTTATGACCATACCTCTTCCTGGGGACATCTGGCATTAAACCTCAGGAAGTGGTGTGGTTAAGGACCTTCACAGGCTGAAGAAGCAGCAACAGCAGCAGCAGTTTCAGGTCCAGCATGCCAACATGAACATACTTTAAGAACCATCCTTAACGTGGAAAAAGTAGTAACTGACAACAATTTGACCAATACCTCCCCAGAGTTCATTATCAACGTACTACTTCTCCCCCTGCCTCCCATGATTTCTCAAGAGTGTTCAAACATGCAGGAACTAGCCCAAAGTCAAAGTGACCCTAATGCACAGCCTCCAATCTCTACCTACTTGGGAACTGTCACTCCCTGAAGCACTTTTGAAATCATTCTCTATGGATACATAACTCCTGAAGTGGGCATGGGCATACTGTCATCATTTGCAAATTTCTACTTCAACCCTAGAAACATAGAAAATTAGGGCTGAAAGGGACCTCAGGTGGTCATCTAGTCCAACCCCCTGCTCAAAGCAGGACAATTCCCAACTAGATCATTCCAGTCAAGGCTTTGTTGGAAACATGGGACAGTTTGAATAAGAAGACTGAGAGAAGAGAAACATTCAGCATGTAAATTAGTTTCGCAGTCAACAAGTGACGCATGCATTAGATAATCTAAGGGCTGGGCATCATAGGCACTGACATGACGGGGTAGCGATAGGGCAAAGGAACACTAGGGCAATCAGCCCTGTGGGAAAGGGCCATACTTTGGACTGCTTATAGCAGAGAAGTCACTGCATTGATAGCCAGGTCGTGAATAAGCCATTGCTGCATAAGAGACTGAGTGTATTTATATGCCTCATTGGTTTGTACAGCCAGTTTTTTATATGTAACATCAGGTAGGAAGAAAAGACAGGAGTCAGATGGGACTGAGGCAGTAGAGCCAAGGAGATAGAGAACACTGTTAGTTTGCTAGCATGGTAACATCTTTAGCTCCCTTTGATTGCTTCCACTCACTAAATAGTTATACACTAACTTTTCCCCGCCTAGTGAAATCCAAAGGCCTCACTGCCATCCTCCTGCTGTCAACTACATGCCCCTTTTGAAGAGCATCTTGTCTGCAGTCTTCTGAAGTCCTACCTGTGCAACCACTTCCTCAGTGGTTGCCTCTCCTGGTCCAAGTTGCAAATGTCAGTCCTGTCTTCTTCTGCCCACACACTCACCACTGATGCTCTCCCATGATTCCCAGTTCGATGACTCACAACTCTCTTCCTCCAGAACAGAGTTCTCGAGTTTTAATTCTCTTCTTCATATGTCATAGAATCATAGTATTTAGGGGTGGAAGTGACCTAAACAGATCATCAGGTCCGACCCCTTGCCCTGGGCAAGAACGGGTGCCGGGATCATATCAACCCAGCCAAATATCTGTCCAGCCTCCTCTGGAAGACCTCCAAGGCAGGAGAGAGCACCACCTCACTTAGGAGCCCATTCCAGAGCCTGGCAGCCCTAACTGTAAAGTAATGTCTCCTGATGTCCAGCCTGAATTTTCACTCTAACAATTTGTGACTGTTATTCCCCCAGTTTCCACTGGTCCCCCCTGGTGAATTTGTAAACAGTCACCAGATCCTCTCTCAGCCTTCTCTTGTGGAAGCTGAATAGGTTCAGGCCCTTTAGCCTTTCTTTGTAGGGCCTGCCCTGCTGCCCCTTGACCATATGAGTGTCAAAACCCAAGCTTCCCCCTTTCTCCATTCCTCCTGACTTTGCTACCCTCCTAGCTGCCCAAAGCTACAACTCTGAAGTTCACATGCTTGACTTGTTTTCTATTCCTCACATCCTGGTATTTCTTTCTCAACCACCTCCAAGAATTTCTCACATATCATACTTCTTCCCCACTCTCAAAACTCATCATCCATGTCCCAATTCTCTTGTCTAGACCTCTATGACTAGGGTTACCATACATCCTGGATTGGCCGGGACAGTCCCAGGTGTCATAGGTCATCCTGGCTGTTGGAGAAAATTGAAGTGCAAGTCCTAGATTGGCAGGAACCTGCCTGCACGTGCCCAGCTCTTGATTGACTATTGATTGAGCAAAAGACTCTGCTCACGGCCCAGCAGAGTCCAGACTAGAGAGCAGCTCACTGGCTGGGCTCTCTAGAGAAAACTGAAGCAAAACTCCCAGATTGGTGTGAACCCACACGCATGTCCCCAGCTTCTGACCGACTCTACTTGGCAAATGACTCATGGCTTGCAGCCCAATGGATTCAGGACTAGGGAGCAGCCTTCCAGGTGAAGAAGAGGGCTTCTGAGGGGTCCCTCTGCCCTCCTGGCTGCTGGGAACCAATGTTTGGGGGTGGGGAGGATGGCTCTGGGCTCTGCCCTGGGATTGCAGCCCCAGCCTGCTGGGAGGCATCATACAGCTGCACAGCATGGGCTTATGGAGCCCAGGGGGTGCCCCCAGCTGGGTCCAGCCTCTGCAAGAAGGGGATAAAGGCCAAAGGTGGGCTTCCGCACTGCCCTGCCCAGCCCTGCTCCTGGGAGCCTTGGGGTTGGGGGGGAGGGGGTACACCCCCTATCCCAGACTTCTTTACCCTGTCCATAAAATTACCATGGTCACCCTATCTATGACCACCCTCTCCTTGAACTCCCTGCCTGCCTGTCTCTTCCCATTCTGTTATATTCAACATCACAACCAAAATTATCTTCCTAGCCCAATGCATCCCCCTGCATGTAATCAACTAACTTACAGTTTCATTTTATGTACAGTAAAAATACTTTATGATTGTTATTCTGGTTTTCACTTCTCTACCTGTGGTCCTACCTACCACACTGCAGGGTGCATACCAATAAAAAAAGTACTTAAGAAACTCTTTGAGTTTAATACTTTTAAAATATAAACCTGTTTGAAATTCATTTTGCAAGTTGTGACCACCCACATATTAAGGCCTACACTTATGTTTATCTATTAAAATAATTTAAGTTGCTTAAAACATCTGAATAGAACATGGTGATTAGTGAAGTTGCACCAAGAAACCAAGGACTGGGTGGAAATCACTGCTGAAACAGGTGGAGGTGGAGTCTGTTAAATAAACCAGCTTGACAGCAAGAGCTGCTTCTGCAGGTGCAGAAAATGCTTTCATTCCCAAGCAAAGTCAATTCAAGGACTAGCTCATTTTGAATTGGAAAAAAA